AGGCTCTTGCTAAAGTAGAATAGACCTATATTTCCGCACTTTTCCACACAAACAAACCAATTCTTTTTGCTTGAAAATTTATTTATAAACAACTGTTACACTAACATTTTTCCAAGTAATTTAAAAATGTTCACCCCTTCCTCCATTTCTGTTTTGAATTTATAAAATAAAATTAATTTTAGACTAGTAATTATAAATCCATATCTATTTACAATTTTTTTGTCGTAGTGTGAACTTATGACTAAACTTTAATGGGTTATCGAGATAAACCCGAGAATGAGATATGTATGATAATTTAAACAGAATAAAAACTTTCGTGTTTAATTTCAGTAATATATTCCAAATGTATTATATAATATATAAATAAATATATAGAATAAAAGAAAATATCAGCAAAATAATTCTAAAACATACGATATATATATGTCCAAATGTGAAAAATAAAATTTTTTTTATATAATTTGCTTTATTTTGAATACAATTTTTAATTATGTTTGTATTCGACTTTTAATGTTCGAGCTGTGTTCTTTTCCCGAAGGTAGTGGTTTATTTAACGATCTTTTCACGTAGGCAGTGTATTTTTAGCTTACTTTTCCCAAAGGTAGTGTATTTTTAGTGTTTTTTTAGTGTCCGTCGAACAAAACGATTTGGAAACATAGAACCATGTTATGTAGACAGACAGATGTCGAATGAAACAGCGGTTGTACAGTATTTCTGATCATGTCAATAAAGCATGTTATGCAGAGAGTTAAATCACATCTGTTAATGTCATAGTCTTCTATAATAGACACAAATTCTAAAAAGCACTGTTTTTAGGAACGAAAAACCTCGTCATCTACGAAGCTTAAGCGAAAAGTGATATATTATGATCTTTACACAGATTTTCATGGAATAGCTTTGTGTAGAGTCTGGTGAGAACAACAGTGCCGCGCATATAAACAATACAAAAATTTAATTTAGACCAAAACAGCTGATTCACACATCAACACAAGTTTAAGCTGAAATAAAATGTACGAGTAAAGTCTATGTTGTTAAAGGGAGCGCTCCCTCAGATGCTCTTATATACTTGTGTATATACAGTGTTGCTCATAGTTACAACGAGTACCTCGTGAAACAGACATTGCATGTAATATGCAGCGAGTTAACTTGCAGGGATTTGAACAATATAATATTTTTCGTTTTGATCATAGATTCGTTTTCAAAATTGTATATATCTTTCACATCGATCATTACGCATTCGGTGTTTTTTACATATGTATGAAAATTATAACTATATTCATGCATAAATCAAATTTATAAAATTTGCTTAGATGGCGAGTATCTCATCTACTATACTCACTTAGCGCCAAAACTTCCATGGTGTTTTGACAGTTATTAGTTTTTCTACAAGTGTTTTAAGGGATATGGAGGACATAGGGCGATTAAAAATACGCAGTATTAGTGAACTAATAGAAGTAAAAGTAATTAAACAAACAAAAGCAGATAAATCAGCAAAAGCTACTAGAAAAAAATCAACGAAAAATGATCAAAATAATTTTCAAGTCTCTTTGGATGTTGGTAATGGGAATATCATAAATATCAATACACCATTAACAAATGACAAAAAGATAGATAGTGAAGGAACAATAACAAAGAAGCCCAGAACAAAGAAAAAGGAATTACCCCCTAGTCAAACACGGATTAATAGTTACTTTAAAAGTAGTACCAAAAACTTTGTCGTAAATCATGATTTAGTGCCGACAACATTTGAAAAAGAAAACAAACAAGTAACAAGTGTAAGGAAAAATCCCAAAAGAGAGTGCAATGTCAAAAGGAAAGGTCGTAAGCGTTTATTTGTTGATGACACTGAGTCGGATGCAACAACAACAAGTGCAGTTGTTGTTAATGCTAATAAACCCAAACGGAAAACACCAGTCAAATCGAAAGCTAAAAATGCAGATAACGCCGCAACTACAACGGCCAAAAAGGCTCCAGTGAGAAGCACACGTAAGAAAAGTGCAACCAAGGGAAAAGAAACATCAGTGAATGTAGTGGATTGTATTGATCTATGCACAGATGAAGAATCTAATCAGCCACTATTGCCACTAAGAAGTATTAAAAGCGACCCATCGCTACAAATCAGTGCTAATAACACATCTATTAATCAAAACAATGAAACTCTGGAAACGAAACTAACTACGGAAATAAAAATAACTACACAGGAAAAAACAGCAAATTTAAACCCAAGAGAACCTATGGTTTCAATTGAAGTATATCCTGATAACTACAATATGCTAAACGGTAAGGAAGCTTCCGACGCAAATGTTTTGGCAGAAGAGCAAAGCAATGGCAAACAGACGCGTAAAAGAAAGCCGCGTGTTATTCCAAATTATAAAACCATTGAACATACCACATTCGCAGTTGATGCTTTTCAATTTGGTAAAATTCCGGGGGTTACGCATTATTTCTTAACGCACTTCCATGCCGATCATTATGTGGGTTTAACAAAAAAATTTGCGATGCCTTTGTATGTGACGCCTATAACACGTTAGTATATAGATAATGTGATTTATTATAACGTAAAAGTAATTTTTTTAATTTATTTAATTTTTTATAGGTCGTTTAGTTCAAAAGTTTATAGGCACTGATGAAAAATATCTTCATGAGCTTGAATTAGGGGTACCGCAAACTATTAATGATGTTGAGGTAACCGCTATCAATGCAAATCAGTACGTATTATGTTTTAATTTATATATTTATAGATGATATGATATTCTTATTGCATTAAATGATATTTCTCATATAATTTCTCATTATATGTATTTTATTTTCGTTTTATTTTTATTATTTTTGTCATAAACTGGTAACACTTCATGCTGAATTATAATCAGGATTATACATCTCAGTTGTTTTTAAAGTAGGTGAGTTCAGTGGTTCGAGAATGTTCAGTTAAATTTATTTACACTAAAAAAGCTGAAGTTCCAGTAACAAAAAAGAGCCCAGCTCAGAACGGATTCGCAACTCTGGTTATAAATAATCCGTTACTCTCAATGTTCCCAATAAATCAACATCGTCACTATCGGTACCGATAGTTTCTCATTAAAGCACCTCCCTTTGTCTCTAATTAAACTTGTTTTAAGATAATTTGCGATCTTGGTATATTATAATATAAACTTACAATCTTGCTAAACTGACCCTTCTACAGTCGCGGCCAAAAAATAGAAAACAATTACAAATTCACTTGTTATCCTTTTTAGAAAAGAAAATATCAGTTGGGTAGGAAACAATATTGTAATTAACAACTAATTTTGAAACATAAATTTGTCCAGTTTAAGAAGTAGTATTCTACTTACCAAAGTTTGTGTATAGAAGATTCTTCAATCCTATCTAGCATGAAGTCCAGACTTGACAGTGATTAATTACGACAAGTGCATCTAGTTGACACTATGGGCCATTATAATTACACAGGAGAGGAGTTTAGTGATGATAAGTCATATCATAATATCAATAATTGAATAAGAAAAATGTTAAGTTAAGTTAAGGGAAAGGTTTTTCAATCAAAATTCAACGTTTTTTTATTTACAAAATATATTTACTTTTAGTTGTCCTGGTGCTATGATGTTGGTTTTCAAATTAACTGATGGAAAATGCATTTTGCACACAGGAGACTTCCGTGCTTGTGCAGAAATGGAATCGGAACCCATATATTGGAATAATGATATCGATACAATATATTTGGATACAACTTATTTGAATACAGACTATGCACTTTGTCCACAACATGAAAGTATTTATAAAACTATTTCACTCATAGAGGAGTTCCAACAAAGAAATATGTACAAACGGATCTTATATGTGGTTGGCACTTATGTGATTGGTAAAGAAAAATTCTGGTGTGCAGTAGCAAACCACTTTGATTTAAAAGTTTGGGCTGACCCTAATCGAAGAAAAGCATTAGACGCTATGCAAATAGAAAAATTTACTTCTCGTTTATGTGATAATCCTTGTGACGCTGATATGCATGTTATTCCACTGGGTCAAACAGGATATTTAGTGAGTTTATCAAAGTTTTTCTTGTGATTAATTTAATTTTAATTTTTCGTTATTTTATTTATAGAAACTTTATGAATACTTTCGTCAGTATAATGATAAATATGATATATTGCTTGGCTTACGTCCTAGTGGTTGGGAAATAAGTAAAAAGCCACAATATGGGAAATTAATTAACATATTTGCAATTGAGTATTCGGAACATTCAAGTTATTTTGAATTGGAGCGGTTTGTCAAATTTTTAAAACCCAAAAAAGTTATAAGCACTGTACCTACTGGTCATGGTAACAGCGCAACACCGAATGTACCAGAGAAATGGTACAAATACAAAGAAACGTATGGCAGTATGCAGCGAAAATTTCAAACTTCTATAACAACCTTTTTAAAACCGAAAATAATTGATGGGAAAAATAAAAGTTTTAGTAACAAAGATTCTTCAAATATGGTTGTATCACCAAATCATTCTAAAAACAGTAGTAAATCTGGGCCAAAAGAACAAGATGTGGAAAATATAAGAAACAGAAGTAAATTAGTGCAGAATGAAATTTTGAACTTCACTGAACCTATAACTATACCTAATACAGATGAAATTAAAATTGCTGACATAATTACACTATCCTCGGATACAAGTAGTTCTGAAGAAGAATTAAAAAACTGTGTTAAAATGATGCACTCAGCTACAGATAAGCGACTTTCAACTCCTCCCCCTTCGATTTCAACATTGGTTTGGCTATCAAATTTAAATACCGAAACAGATGATGATTTTCTGATATAGCATAGAAAGAATGAAATAATTTTAATTAAAATTATTGATTTGCTTTAATAAATATTGTGTATATTTCATTTAGCGATGTTTAAGTAATTAATATTTTTTTAACAAGAAAATGTTTTCAAAATATATATTTTTTTAAATTTTAGTATAGTATTTGTATATATAATTTGTAAGCTAAAAATAAATATAAGTTGTTATTTTTTAAAAACTTTATCGTAGCATCGTAGGCTAGAGGTTTTGTATGCAATGTTAAAACTGTAATATATACACACTTTTTAAAAATATATTTTTAATCGATTTGTAAAAGTTTTGGTATAGTTTTATTTCCTTCTATACCGTGTTATGCAATAACCGAATTCCTGATTATATAAATAACATTTATAATACATGCCTATATCTATTAATTTATATTATTTATTTATTTCAATACTTTTGATATTGTTTTTTACATTTTTATTTGGTTTATATTTATTTTTTTTTTTGGTAAATTAGAGAGACTTACTAGAATAGTAAAGCTATTGTGGTGTCATCAACCACAATTTGCTGACTGCTGAAGTAGCTTATATATTCTAGATTAATTTATCAAAGGAAATTTGGTTTAATTTTAAAATACTTATCAGAATTTTTGGAATTCTCATAAAAACGTTATATATATATTTATCCTTTTACTCCTAGGAGGAGCATAGGGCCGTAACAAATAACTTCCATTCGGTACGATCGGTGGGCAATAGCTTCAACTCTCCCCAGCCTTTCCGCATGTGTGACATTTCCGTGTCGGTTTGTCTTCTCCAGGTGAGAGCAGGTCTGCCCCTTTTTCTGCTACCCATCGAGTTCCATTCAATCGCCATTCTTTTGGCGTCACCAATCGGTCTACGCAAAGTGTGACCGATCCATTCCCATTTACGCTTTTTAATTTCGTTTCTCATAGGTGTTTGCTAAGTTAGAGACCATAGACGATCGTTTGAAATTGTATTTGCCCAAAAAACTTTAACAATTTTGCGTAATGACTGATTTGCAAAAACTTGTAGTGCATTGATGCTGTTTTCCGTAGTATTCCAGGATTGGCATCCATATAGAAGGCAAGATTTTATATTGGAGTTGAATATTCGTATTTTAGTCAGACGCGATAGCTGAGATGATCTCCAGACTTTATTTAAGCGACCAAACGCTTGTTTTGCCGGTTCTCAATGTCCGCACTGAATCCACCATTTTTTTATAAGATTCTTCCAAGTTAGCAAAAAGACGCTAGCATTAATGCGCATAACTTTTGTTTTGGTAACATTGATTTTAAGTCCTGCTCTGTTTGCCGTAGTTATCAAACGATTTAGGTTGCGAGATATATCATTATATCTGTGTACCATCAGACATAAGTCATCGGCGTAATCGAGATCACACAAGCTATCTTGAACACCCCAAGTTATCCCGCCACCTTGACCCAATGTCTCTGCCAAGACTATGCACAGGACGATGTTGAACAGCAACGGCGACATTACGCAACCCTGTCGAACGCCGGTTTTTATGAGTATTTTGTCGCTTAGATATTTCTCGTGCAGTATCCGGCAATTTACATCCTCGTATAGGGCTTTGATGAGCCTGATGATCTTTTGCGGCACACCCTTATGTTCAAGCGCGTTTCAAATGACGGTGTGACATAGTGTATTAAAGGCTTTTTCGAAGTCTATAAATAATAAATATAGAGTTGATCTCCATTCAACAGACTGTTCGACGATTACTCTTAGGCGGTTTATATGATCAATACAAGACTTGTGTGCGTGGAATCCAGCTTGTTCTCTGCGCAACGTTGCTGTTAATGCTGTTGAAAGTCTGTTGGTGATGACATGCGCTATTATTTTATTATTTATTGCCTTGCCAATTAGTTCCAATTAGTTTGCCAATTAATTAGATCGCCCTTTTTGGAAGCTTTATGATAATACCCTCTGTGACTTCGGATGAAAAGTTCTCTGACTGCTAAAAACGTTCTATTAACGGGTGGATAATCTCTGCGCTTGTATGTGGGTTAGTTTTCATTACTTTCGGTGCTAAACCGTCAAGTCCTGGTGCTTTGCTGTTCTTTAGTGTTTCTATTGCACTTATGATCTCTGCAATATCGGGGCAGGAGGTGGAAATGTTGCTATTTTCAGAATGACTATCGCAGTCGCAGTTCAATTGAGCCTCGGAACGTTCATTTGTTAACATATTACTGTAAAATTTGGACCACAGATCTATTTGTTTGCATTGGTCTGTACCCAGTACTCCATTTTCGTTTTTCAGCGGCTTACTGCTCCTGGTGTTATTTTCAGTAAGCTCTCTAGTAGCTTTGTACATATCACCACTTCTATGTAGTTCAGCTGCGGTTTGAGCTTCATTGGCTACATTACTGTCCCGTTACTATATATTATTTATATATAATATATATAAAAATATATATATATTATATATAAAAATAAAAATAATATTATATTATAAAAACGTTACGATAACCTTTACAAGTTCTTATGAACGAAACGATTGATAAACCTGTTAACAATAAAACGACACTGAAACTACGATATTGTATCATCATTATAAAACTATTATTAACAAAACGACTAGGCATCATTCCGCATTATACCGAAGCATCGTCATTTCCGAGGAGACGTGAGCTTTGCAACAAAGTTATTTTCAGCAGGCCTTTGTCCGACATTTATAGGTGTGTAAACTATATGCTGAAAAATACAAACAGTGATAAGTAGTTACTTGTCGGTTAAACTCATTTCATTCTAAGATATTTTTGGGTTAACTTTTTATTGCTACACTGGATGCATGTTCCTCATTTAAATGAGCGTAGATAAGGGAGTAGAGACACAGTATGAGATAATACCATCCTAAATGTCTGACAAAGAGTTTATTGTAATATTAAAAAAAAGCTTCTAGAGACATTGAGTGTACTAAGTGGGTGGTAAAGTTATTACCTTAACATAAAAAAAGAGTCCTTGATCAAATGGATCTCATCTAAAAAAAAAAGATTATTTATTTATTCCTAAAAGCAAAAAAACTTTTAGAAATAAATGGAAAACATTTTTACTACTAAAATTTATTCCAGTAATTAGAAAAGGGTGTTAAGATAAAGAGTCGAAAGATAAAGATACTTAGTGCGTAGGGTAGCTTGGTTGTTTGGTGTGGATTGTGGATTCTGTGACCAGGGTCACAAGAACTAAGGTTGTAGATAGAAGTATCTAAGTGCTTCCCGTATAAAGCATTTAGAGCAAAGAATCTTAAGTTTACAGTTAAGCTGGCGGTGCCTTCAAATGGTATTTTTAAGTTGGATATAACTGAAAAGTACGTTTTGAAGGATATAATTTACATGCTGAATAAAGTTGTGCCTAGGGGAAAGCGTTAAGATACTTAAGCTTGTTAACAAGCTGAATTCAGGTATTGTCGAACTACACTTTAATCAGTAGGGTTAATAAATTTCTAGAGGGATATCTACTGTAAATAAATTAAAATGAAGTGAGAACAAACTCATCGTCAATATGTACAAATATTATGTTTATTTTCAATGGGTTTTATTTGATTTTTTTTATTTAATTTTTAATTTTCAATTTTCTTTTATATAATGTTATTACCTATTAACTGAATATAATAAATTACATTATAATTTTTTTAAGCCAAGTACCCTGTTTAAATGTTTATGTTTAGTTTTTAAAATACATATTATTACTACTTTTAATCTGGCTGTAGATCCCTTCTTGTTCAAATAATTAAACGTTTAATATTTTTTATTATACTCTATATATTTGACTCTCCTTAAGAGTCATCATCACGATTACAATACGTCCTACTCTTTGTTCTATCGTCTGTATTCAGTACAATATTTATGATGGATAAATTGGAAATTTTTTTTGTTCATAATAATGTGTATAAAAAATTTATATTATTGTTAAAATTAATTTAATAAAATAATAATATAGTTACATATGTACTTGTATATAGAAGTTTTTAAATTTTGACATTTGTCCCTTGCATATCTCAGTTGTAATACATGGTGTTTGTTACTTTTATAAAATTATAACAGTTCCGAGTTAAAATAAATAACTGTAATAAATGCTACTCTGTAACAAGTATATTTACTACAATACTTTTTATAACAGCGGCCAACTAATGACTCTGTTGCCATCCCTGTTATGTTTACAAAATTTTTCTCTTGTTATTTTACATTTTGAGAGCATTTCAATAAACATATTTTGGTTTCTGCTCAGACCGGATTCATTCTGTTTGTTGCTCTTATTGGCGTTGGACGTTGTACGCGACGGTGGCGCGCATATCATGTATAACAGAACAAAGTTGGAGGATTAAGTCATACAATATTATTATTAAAAATATGTATAAGGATGATTTAATTAACAACTTATGAAAAATCTAATTAGTAGATTGTTAATCATTTAAAATGTGTATATGACAAAAAAGTTACATAAATAATTAAAATAACAAAAAATTCTTAATTTGAAAAAATACTGAAAATAAAAATGTAAAACCATTTCTTGTGTTGGTGTTTACAGTTTAAAGTGACGGCAAACTTGGAGAATATTTAACATAAATAAAAAAAAATAAGCAATTTACGTTGCTACCAAATACAAACCAGCCAAAAGAATTGTGGCAAGAGCAATTTTTTTTTATATTTTTTAAAGTATATTTCCACATTAAATGTTGCTTAATACTTGTTTTTCATATATATAATTTTCTATTTAATTTTTTATTAAAAAGTGTTACAACTCAGAAATAGCTCTTGTAACTTGCGGCAACAATTAAAAAAAGGTCTTGAGATCTTGTTTTCTGTGTGTGTGTGTGTGTGTATTAGATTTTAGCCGCTACTAAATCCAGTTAACATTTTGGTGTTTATTTTTTTCTTTGGTTGTTTTTGAATTTGTTGCTATTGGTTGCCATTTTACTAAGTTTGAATAGAAGTGTGGGCAATGAAGTGAGGAGCAGTGCGGTTTGAAAACGATTACAATATTTGGATTTTTAAACGGCAATTTTATTTATTAAAGGTAAGTGAAAATATTGAAATAGTTTTTCTTATTTTAGCAATTGCA